TCATTGCTTTCTAAGATAAAAATAATGGTTTTTTTAAATTTTCTTTAAATGCACTTTCCCCATTTTGCCAATTTTCATTTTCTAGTATTTGTATTTCTTAGTTTCATCTCATAAACTCGTATGCTTCTGTGGTCATATGTAAAAATCCCTATTCCCAGACACCACAGTAGGGTATAAATTACATTTGCTGCTTGGTTTCACCATTCATTCCACCATTCATCTCAGTGAAGCCAGTATGTTGGTGTTTTATCATCGTTAGTTTTGCTATCTGGCTTTTTCTCTAGGAGCCTCAGTAGTAGTCAAGGGCCTGATTGAACTACCTGAGGTCTCCTATGTTAGGAGAAGGTCAGAGACTTCTCATGCCAGGAGCTGTGTGGATCTTGAAAAAAGTTACCATCTGAGGCTGTATGTGTTAGAGCAAAAGCATCAATCTCTGTATGTCTTCCCACCCACCCTACTGATCAAAAAATTCATTTTTATGGCATTAGTTTTGTTGATTTCAACAGATAGTCTCATAACTTGAAAAGTTTAGGTTTGGGGTTAAACTATGCTTTTCCTTTAAGTACTTTTCATGTATTTTTTAGTTGCAGGTGTTCATATAAGTGATTTGAAAAGGTGTTGCTGAACACCTCTTTGTCATATGGTTGTAGACTGAGCAATATGTAGATTTTTGAATTGTCTCTCAACAAGAACTGGTATGATGAAAGATTAAGAAGAAAGAGGAAATATTGTGAAACACCTTGTATAGGTCTGATACTGATGATATAGCTGAGTCTGTAGATTTGGATCAACAACATATGCTTGATTTGGGGAAAACAGTGGAGAGGACATGAGAAAATGGAACACTTAAAGTAGGACTTTATTAGGCAAGCGGAAGATAAGAATTTATTCCTACCTACTAGTGTGGAAAAGTATCCAGTTTTCCTTTTTAAGTAGCTATCTTAATTGCCTCAGTGTCTCTGGAAATCTCTGGAGTCTGGGTCTGCAAAAGTGAATTTGAATTCTCTATGGAGAGAGAAGATTAGGAGATAGCTGGTTTTCATAGGAAAATGCTCTGATTGAAATGTTTTGTGTTCATAAATCTAATGCAAGAAATAACAGCCAGTGTAAGCATATGGAGACATTTCTGTCTAAGACCAGTAAGAGACTCTCAGCCTATTTTTTTTTTTTTTTTTGACAGAACTATTTTGCGAGTTTGCTATTGGTATTTTACTGATATAACAACATATAAGGTCCATATATGTTCTTTCAAATGATTCCATGATACGCATGAGTGGAATTTTACAAAGAAGAAATTAGGTAAAATATTAAGGAACAAAAAATCCTTAGACTTTCAAGCACCTGTATGTAATTCATGTGATAGCACGTTCAAACCTAGAACTTGCTATCTTTTCATGGTTGACTCTTAATAACCTGAGCGAGTACAACCTCGTGATCTGCTTGTGTATATAAGCACTATATTTTTGCATGGAGCAGAATTTTTTAGAGTTCAAAAATTTGCTATTCATGAAATGCCACCCTGATGCCCGGTAGCTTGAAGGTTGATAAAGAAAGCTGTAGGAACAAGACATCATTATTTGTGAAGTGACATGGTGAAGTATAGGCTTTGATTTTTTTGTCAGTAAATTTTTCTACTTGTCTAAATGTATTGTTGCACCTGATAGAAGATTGAGAGGATAAGCAGAGGCTGGTTGGTTGATCTGTATCTATAAATTTGACGTGAGTTTAAGCCTATCTTGGGTGACATTCTGTTTCCCAGCACCTTTAATTTAATTTGAGAGACTGAGTGGTTTTTTTCTTCCCCAAAGGTGGTCCCTTGTATTCCATAGTGATTTCAAAGGGATAGTTTGAAATGCTGCTATAAAAATGCAAGGATTGAAGTGATGATCTCAACATTAAAGTAGCAGAATTACAGCTTGGAAGAGAAGCTGACACTTCAAGAAGTGCTGGTCTTTTTTTTTTTTTTTTTCCCTAAAATTTCCAAAGAATATTTAAATTTACTAACTCTTCCTGAAATTTTGGGTCTGACCTTGCTGCTTCTGTGTTGGTCCAAACCTTTATGTCGCTTAATGCTAATGGTCAGTGTAAAGAGCAAGTACAGTCTCTGACAGCTGGGTCCTTCCAGCCCCTTTCTCCTGAATGGGTTTAGTGATATGCTACCATTGATATTAATCATTCTGTACAGCCTTCTAAAAAACAGTGTCAAAAGTCCTTTAGATTCCTTCTAGCTCTGTCGTTAATTTCTAGGAGCCTTCATTAAAATTTTGGGAGACAGTTAATTTGTGATCATTCTTTGCTTCGTGAAGCCCTCACATCATTAAAAATTATAGATATACAATAAGGGAGAATAAATTCACAATATCTGTTGCCTCACTCAGATTTGCTCAGAGATAAACACTCTAATTGATTTTTCATACAGTGTTTCTTAAAACCTGTAAAAGGAAATGTCTCTTTCTGAAGTGTGTTTAATTTACTGAATGCCTTCTGGTCTGTTCAGAGTTAAGCGTTTTGAGAATTTCAGTAGTTCCAGACATTTTTCCTTATTTTCTTTGCTATAATTAACTGTTAGCCTTTTCCTTTGTATGGTACATAAAGAACAAAATCACTACTGCTCTTCAATGACTTTTTTCCTGGAATAGCAGTTTTCAGTGGCTTGGCTATGTCAAATAGAATTTCATAGCTTAAAGTGAGTGATTCATGAAGAACTCTGTGGATTCTGGTTTGCCTTTCTTTGGCAAACCATAGATATCACAGATACATATCAAATCGGGAAAGCATCTAGCAATTACTTTACTATATTGTTAATGACCTTTTAGTTAGATGGTTTAGCTGAATTTGCAGTTCAGTTTCCATTCTCTTTTGAAGGCAAAGACTGTGTATAATATGTGAGCAAAAAGTCCTGTAGTACTTGTAATTGGAATAACATGATTTTTTGGAGAAACAATGGAATAACATGATTTTTTGGAGAAACAATCTTTCTGCATTGGGTGGCATGTGCCTGGAAGGAGGATGCAGAGTGTGTTTTACCCTTCCTCTTTGTCAAGGTGATGTGTCAGTTGGCAGCCTTTTACTCCAAACTCAATGTATCTAAAGTGATGGCCTTATCTGAACGTGTCAAATAAACTTTTACTCATTCTTTCTCCAGTACTCTCTCTTCCCTTCCCCATTCTCCTCTCCCTTTACTGAGATTTATCTACCACAGGTTATATATATATGGCTTTTTGAGACAAAGGATACAGGGTGATTTAGAGATGTGACAATGCAAGAATGCAGTTCTGTTACACTCTGATGTGCCTCACTCCCTTGGTTTATTTAATAATCTTTGGATGGTACCTAAAGATACACTCATCTACAAAGAAGTAATATGTAATTTATGTAGTACTTCAGCATTTTAACTGACAGACAAATATAAGTCCGATAAAAAGACTGATCTACTTGGTATGCTAAATAAATGCTAATAGTTATATTCTGTGCTGTTATGGAACTAATATAAGTACTGACTGCAGTTTATGTAATTTCTTTTTGCAACAGAATGCAGTAAGTATGACTTGTTTGCAGTGCTGATTTCGATGCATGCCAAATTTTAACTTTCTCATCTAGACCTATGCAAGTTTCTCAATCTCTGATTGATAATTGCAGTTGGTGTGAGGGGCAGAGTTTGATGTGGCTGAGAAGGTTTGGTGATCAGCTATGATTTTGCTTTATCTAAAACTAAAATGATAAAAGTAATCTGTGCTACTTCAATATTTTCTAATCTGCTTGTGTGTTCCTAATCTTATTTAGCAACCAGATCCTTAATTTAAACATTTAAATGATTGCGGTTACCCTTAGTCATAAAAGTTTTATCACCATAATGTGAACTTCACAGGTATTGTATTATCAGACTTACTTAATAGTGTAAAAAGGCATAATGGTTTGTTCTGCACATTTTCAAGCTTCCTAAATAACAAAAGTGTTCTTGATGACTAGTAATTAAGAAAGGAAACCCCACAATGCTAAAGCTGAGAAGGCCAGCATCAGATATCCAAAATTACTTCTTGATTGCAGTTATTTCTACAGGTACATGTATGGAATTCTTACAATATTAATGACTTTTTCAAGCACTGGAAAAAAACAATGAAGCATTTGTTCCCTTTTTCTTAGAAAGGGGCATTTTAAACTGGTCCTCAAAATGAGCACCTGGCCTCCAAACTGCACTCATTTAAGATAACAGAGATGAAGTGGTGAACCACAGTGTGCTGCTGTAATGTCATAGCCCTGCTCCTGCAGCAATCCTGCCGTGCAGCTGGGGTGGAGTAGGCCGCTGTGGCTGCAGACACCGAGCAGCCTGCTCGCTGCCCAGCCCTCCTTCTGGGTCTGCTCCGTTCCCTGGTCCCTTCTGCTCCCTAACCCTGTTTTATATGAATTTGCCTTTTAGAGGATTTTTGGTTCGTAAAGTTCTTTTTATTCCCATCATTTCAGGGGGCAATTACATGAGCGGTTTGTTGGCAGGGAGGGGGTGGGTTGACCTCTGGAGCAAATAATCTCTTAATCCAGGCTCAGTTCCTACCAGAACAGCATCTTGGGCCTAGATCTATAGTGAAATAGAATGCTTTATTGGCTACCGAGTGGAAAAGAGGTAATGCTACTGTCATAATTTTATTTATCAGAACCTGCAGTAGACTACATTTTACATATGGAAACAGATCAGTGGTGGCAAAACTTCTGTTGTTTATTCCCTGGCACGACAGGGGCCCTTATGACTTGTCCCAAGGGATTGATACAGAGGCGTCATGAATATAACCTATAGTATTTTTGCCCCTCCCAATGGGGAAAGCCTCAAGGAAGGATTTGGCCTAAAATTTCCAAACTAATCTCAATAAAATATCACATCACATAAAAAACCTGGAAGGAGTAGTTAATAAAAAGGCTTGTTGACTTGCAGTTGCTGCAGTAACTTACTCCAGCTGAGTTCCAGGGTGTTTACACAACAGCTGTCACAAACATGTTTTATCTGACAGGACAACAGCTTTGAGCAATTCATTATCAACTACTGTAACGAGAAGCTGCAGCAGATCTTCATTGAACTTACCCTCAAAGAAGAGCAGGAGGAATACATCCGTGAGGTAATATTTGAATGGATCTTTCCTTATCCTCTCACCTTCCCACTGTCCTTGTAAAGATACACAGGCATGCATGCTGGAACCTCTTTTAGGGAACAGAGTCACTTTCTGACCACAAACCTGGCATGAAGCATGTTTGTGTAGGACTATGTGGTAGTTACATTAAGCAAAAAAGTTGGGTTTGTTTTTTTTTCATATTACTGAGTTCTCCAGGTAAAAACCAGACCCAACTGTCTTTCATTGGTGACAATGACTGGCAGTTCTGAGCAAGGGCTAATTAATTTATTGGAAGACTAGTATTACTGTCTGGTATTAGCGCCATTACCCTACAGTCTGTGTTTTGGATTATGCAGCAGTATCTGGGATACACCCCAACAGCGGCCACAGCTAATCCTGTTTCAAAAGGGAATTGGGTGGGTAAAACAATAGCATGCAAAATAAAAGAAACTATGAACAGAATTTTGGTTCTAGTTTTCTTTCAGTTAAGTATTGAAGGGAACTGCGCTGGCTTTATGGGTAAATTTAAGCTCTGCTTTGGAGCCCAGGCTCTGGTATTTGACGTTATTCTGTGAGTGAACATCAGGTTAAAGTTTTAATAGGTTTTAGCAGTACTCTCCATGACATACAGAACTTGGACAAAATACCAACTCACAGCTGAACAAACTGGCATACACTGTATGTACTCAAATTGGATGATACCATTTTGCTGGATAAACATTTTTAAAAATTAAATAAAGTTCCTTCCTTATAATTCTGAGGATAATATGATATTTGGGCATGTCTCTGCATTCGGTGGTGAAACTCTTGAAACATTATTACTGCAATTTGGTTCTTGAATGATGTTTCAAATGCTGTGAAAAAACTAAACTATATTAAGTACTGCAGAATGCAAATTAAGAATGAAATTAATATTTTCTTTTTCCAGTCTTTTGCCCTACCAGTGTTGCCTGCTGATGCATTGGCATCTCATCCTGGAAATTTTATCTCTTATATTTGAAAAAAATAGAATATTAGGAGTATCTTGAACAACAGCCAGACTCTGGATTTTTCAGATGGTCTTATCTAAATTTAGTGCTCTTCTTCCTCCCATTAAAAAAATCCCAACAACTAACAGCTTAGAAATTTTGGTCTCAGATGCTTGCAGTGAAACGGGCTTATTTCCTTGTACCCAGTGGGAGGGCAAGCAGAGCGGTGCTGGGGAGGGGGCTGGCAGAGTGCCAGGGGAGTGCATGGGAAGCTGACATGGGTGGGGGAAAGGAATGGAGAGCGGGTTTGGCAGCCGCTCAAGGACAGTCATTTTGCGTAGATAATGTTAGTAGTAGATGATCGCATTTCTTTCTTAATAAATAAAATGTTGTAAGCATATAGAATTAAATTTGAGAGTAGTACCTTAGTTAACTGGAATATACTTCAAATTGCCTAAAAGAAAAGCTCCCTTGATTGTTTTGTGTTCATAAGTTTGGTTTGGTTTTTTTTTTTTCTTACAGGGGATTGAATGGACTCATATTGAGTACTTCAATAATGCTATAATTTGTGACCTAATAGAAAATGTAAGTTACATTCAAGAATCTCTCATTAAATTTAGCTGTAAAGTCTGTACGTGTTCTCACGCACTACGATTTTATAAAACAAGCCACTCGTTGTATTAGTCATCTTATTTTGTATGGTAAAAGTTTATTTTACTAAAAATTATTTTTTTTATAAGGCTGTAAGTTACTTTGTTAGAGTCGTTCAGCAGCACCTATGCAAGAAAACCTAACCCCAAACAACTCTTAAATGTTTACATTTGGTGTGGTTTTCAACAGCAGATATCGCATGCTGCATTCTTTCTATATGGAAACTAGAAAACTCAGTGACTTGTTACTAAGTGTTTTAGGTACAGAAAGTACTTGTAGCTAATAAGGGGGCTTCCTATGGACTTAGCACGGCAAGAAAGATAAAATTCCTTAACAATCGGGGAAAGAACTGTTTTTAACCATTAACATAAAATTGATGCTGGTTTTACCCATAAACTGGCTACTTCCAGTTAAGTTAGAGTTTCTACAGTCTGAGTAAATGGCACGAAATTCCAACATGAATTTCAAGATTCAGATCTCAGAAGCAGTGTTTCAAAAATGCAGATAGTAAAAATCTGTTGGAAATAGGGATAAGGAAAAGAGCCAAACTTTGAGATGGCTTGAAGAACATTTTTCTGGGTAGCAGAAGTCAAACAGGAAAGAACAGTCTCCTTTTTATGCCTTGATGGAAATGTGGTGGAAACGAGCACTAAACCTCTTGTCTTGAAACTTCAGAACCAAACTGGAATCCTGGCCATGCTAGATGAAGAATGCCTGAGACCAGGAACTGTTACTGATGACACCTTTTTAGAAAAACTGAACCAAGTCTGTGCCACTCACCAGCATTTTGAAAGCAGGATGAGCAAGTGCTCCCGGTTCCTCAATGACACCACCTTGCCTCACAGCTGCTTCAGGATTCAACATTATGCTGGCAAGGTACCTGGTGAAGCAGGGAATACATGGTGTGTGGAGGGTGTTGTACCTGTTTGAAGCCAAGGCTTGATACAATGAGGAGGCTCTTCGTCCATTAAATGATGTTACAGTAGTGGAGGAGAATTGCTTGAGTCAATAGTTGATCAAAAAAATCCAGATTTGTCTTAATCTTTTACATCTTAAGCCTAAAATCCATGATCTGGGCTGGAAAGTTTTCAGAGATCATGCTGCTCTAGCCGAAATCAAGGGCAGTTCTCCTTTCATCAAAGGAGAAAGATGTCCCACATGCTTCAGTGGTGACCTGGATGTGCTGCTATGTCTGTGGAAATAAAAGATTGTTTAGAATGACAAAAATTCACCCATGTTTGAAGGTAAGATATTTTGGAAAACGTGTTCTTTGCCACTGAACTAGCTTAAGTCCTTAGTCACATTGATGAGAAAGTGGAGTTTTTGTACATTTGAAGGAACCAAGTTTATTTTGACAGTCTGTGTGTTTAAACAGATGGAAGAGAAAGCTATACAGAAGGCTTGCAAGTGTGTTTGCTTTTTACAACATAAGCAGTGTGAATAAATACAAGTCTCTTAGTTTTTGTTGTGTAATTCAGTATGACTTTTTGTTAATGGAAATAAAAATAATTAAATTTGTAAAAAGAATATTTAAAAAAATAAAAGTAAATGTAGGGGTTGAAACTATACTTCTTGTTTGAATCTGCTGAACTGTTAATTTCACAGAGTAAAGAATATTTGGAAATATTTTGTTTTCCTAGGACTGTTGACTGCTTCCCTAGTTTTTAACATTTTCTCAATCTTACAGTTTTGAATAGCATTCAAAGTAGTTCTGGAAATATCATACTCTCAGCCTTTGAGGCAGCCATTCATTAACTTTACATTATGTATTTGCCAAGAAGATTTTGTAATTGCATATAATCTATTGGGGATTAATACTTAGATATTTGATTGTGAAAATTCAAAGCAAATTGAAAATACCCCAGTACTTTGAGAAGGACTGCAAACAGATTGTGTCTTAGCAGGCAGTGGGGGTCTTCAGTTGTCATTGGCATTCACTTACCCAGCAGAGCAGTCAGTGAATTCTGCCTGTTTTGGGAGGAATGTTGTTTTTCCATCCTCAGCTGAGAACATTTTGATCTAGTCACTGGACAACATAAGTTTGACACTCTTTTTATGAAATATATACAAGTTTATATGAACAGTTTTTTCAATAGTGGCATTTACCACACCTGTCAGGAACAGAAATGTGTACTCCAAAGAAAAATGCTGCCTGAGTTCCCAGTCACTTGCTGTTGTAATACTGGCTACGTCACTATTAGTTGTATTCAATATTCTGTATACATAGTACATATCTACACAGAACTGACAAATCATGAAGCTGAAGGATCTGTATTACCAGCCAGATGACTTGTCACAATTAAGTTTGTCACAATTACCCTCAAAAATTAAAAAAGCCAGTAGTAATCTGAGATCTACATGAGGTTGCCCTGAATGCCTCCTGAGTTTCCAGCTGCAGGTCAGAGCTTTGCATTCATACTTGTGGTGTTGGACTGTTTTCCTGGTAAAAGTCCATTAAAATAACAGTCTCCTGAGGACTGTACAGATAGCTGCTTGCTGCTGTGATATCAAGAGGTGATATTTCATATCTTGTTTTAGTTAGACAAATAATGTAAGCATTAGTACTTTGAAGGGAAAGGGTATTTTTCCTGTTGTGATTCAAAAGAGAGGGAGAAAACCTTTTGTCAGCTAAAAAAAGGTTGTTTTGGAATATTAACAAGTAGTGGTTTATAAGAGTTATCATGGAAGAAGGGTTTTTTCCATTTCAGAAACCAGAATTGATCAGCACAAAGAACCATTAGCAGTGTGAGAAAATGCATCTTTCTCAGGTAGTATGCTCACAGAAATTTTATCCAACAAAAAGTCTTCTAAATGTCAAATTTTAAAAGCTGAAATGTCTTTTGTTTGTTTTGGATAGTGAGAAAGAAGCAGAAATCCATTTCTTGGATCAATTTTGAACTGGCCTATGTTATAGTTCAAAACATGCTCTGATGAGACTCTTCTTTATTGTTCAGGTTATGTACCAGGTGGAAGGATTTGTTGACAAAAATAATGATCTTCTGTACCGTGACCTCTCTCAGGCCATGTGGAAGGCCAGTCACTCTCTTATCAAAGCGTTGTTCCCAGAAGGTAACCCTGCTAAGATCAATCTAAAGAGACCACCAACAGCAGGTTCACAGTTCAAGGCTTCGGTTGCTACCCTGATGAAAAATCTTCAGACAAAAAATCCAAACTATATCAGGTAAATTACCCTGTGGCAAAGCTTTGGTGAATTTGTTTGGTGAAGTTAAAAAAAAAAAATCTTGATAGCCAAGGATAAACTATTGACATCTGTGATTTAAACTCACAGTAATGGTAGTTGACATGTACAGGACTGCAAACAAGTGTCCCTCTTCATTTCCCTTTCCAGATGCATCAAACCCAATGACAAAAAGGCTGCACACATTTTCAATGATGCCCTGGTGTGCCACCAGATCCGCTACCTTGGTCTTCTGGAGAACGTCCGGGTCAGAAGGGCAGGTTATGCATTCAGGCAGGCATACGAGCCTTGCCTGGAAAGGTACAAAATGCTGTGTAAGCAGACGTGGCCTCACTGGAGAGGGCCAGCCAGGTAGGAAAACATCAGTATTCTTACCTGTCCTGTTCCAATGATTGAAATTACTGTCTTCCACATGTTCTGATTTATTTTTTTTTTAATTAATGAACTTTCAAGTGTTTTAAAAAATAAAGTAAAAAGTAGGCCAACGTGCTCAAGTGTTTTACCTGTATGTTTTTGCTTAGCATCTTGTTCCAGATTTTGGATGAGTTCATTCACTGGGAAACCTATAATTTTTAGTAGGCTAAAAATTACAGTTCCTTGGCAAAGGAGATGATTTTAGTGATGAACTGATCTACTAATGGAGAAGATTTTACATGTGAGCAAGGGAAGCACATTGGATTTAAAATGTATTGCAGCCTTTACTGGTTTGGGCCTGAAAGAAAGGGTGAGAGAGATACTGGAATGAAATCAAAATGACTGGGAGGTCTGGAATGATTGAAAGGACACTTTTCTTTAATAACCAACTTCCAAAGTGTGGGAACGCCCATTTCTTTGACAGTCACACAATCTTCCTCTGCTTTCAAGAATAATTTTACATAAAGATTAGTGAACAACTATGAGATAATACCTCTTGCAAATAAATTGTATTTTATATATAATTTTAAATTGCATAGTATTCACGTGTATTTTTACAGATAGTGTCTTGGGTAGGCAAATGAGCGTCTCTTAATTCTTGGCCACCGATAACATGATTTAAATTTTGTTCATAATAGATTAATATCTTTAGCTACAATTTAAATCTTTAGGTTGTGAAGATAATGGTGGAAATGCAGTATTGATAACAATAGCATTGTTACAATCATCACAAAGATCTGTGCAATTTCCCCTCTTCTTTGTTGACATTTCTGAAATGCAGTTGGTAGTGTGTGGAACATTAGCATTTGTCAAACTCATCAGTCTTTGTTTCATATTCTGACATTAGTGTGAAAGCCCTTCATTTTCCTTTTTTTTTTTTTTTAAAGTAAAATCATTATAGATGTAAGAGGAAAAAAATAGGCCATTGCTGATGCTATTATATTAAAAATTGCTCTTTTTTCATCAGATTATTCTGAATCTTTACAGTGATTATTCTTGCCTTTAGCTGAATAACCAGTGAGTAAATGACTTAGGTTTTCAATCTTCTTATGTCAAGCACTATTTAAGAATTTAAAATATGCTTTCATATACCTTCCAGAAATTGATCTGTGAATACGTAAACTAAGAAGTTTTAGAGCTGGGAGTCATGTTTGTTAAGCTCATTTACTTCTTATTAGGGCTGGAGTAGAGGTACTGTTTAATGAGTTGGAAATCCCTGAAGAAGAATTTTCATTTGGTAGATCAAAGATATTCATCCGCAACCCAAGAACCGTAAGTGAAAAATGTCCTCTGCAAAATCGGGCCATCTTTCATGACTATAGTCTGTTACGAATGGCATAATTCACTAGCTGGTTACTACAGATTTGTCTAGATACAGCACTTTGATGTATTCCATGGAATATAGCATTAAAAAAGGCACTTTTTAATGTTAGACCCATTAAAATTGGTGTGACTCTCAAAATAGTTGTCAGCCTGAATGTAGTGTAACTTTCATGCGCTGACTTGTGACAGGGTATCTGCCACAAACCTTGTTCATGTATCTACCTATAGCTCTGGAGATGAATAAACCAAAAGGTGTCTGAAGGGGGACTTGAATAAATGAGAGATTTCTCTTACAATAGCTGTGCTTATGGGTTTTTTCTGGTCTCTTCTCCCCTGCTGTTTTTCTTCCAATGTCAAAAAATACCAAACCCACACCCAGCTCTTCAAACTAGAAGATCTGAGAAAGCAGCGGTTGGAGGACTTGGCTACTCTAATTGAGAAGATTTATAGAGGTTGGAAGTGCCGCACACGCTTCTTGTTAATGAAAAAAAGCCAGATTGTGGTTGCTTCCTGGTACAGGAGATATGCAGTAAGATACTATCCTTACTAAATGGGGGTTCTTTTCATTGTTTAATACATTTTTTCATGTACCCATGATATGATATTTCATATAACCTTGATATATATGGAGAAGTGTTGAAAGAATTCCATTTTATGTCAGTATTTTAAGTACCGATAATGTGAATAAAGAAAATTTGCTTTCTATAGACCGCTATTAAGTGTTTGCATTGTGCTTGTGCTTAAATAATTAAAAAGCTCACCAAGAGTCTTTTAGCTCTGGGAGAGGAGGATTTCGTGGCCCAGCTGGGAAGGGTGTTTTTCATTCAGCTAACATGCTGTGCTGCCTGGCACTTATAGTGCTTTCAAAACATATGGTTAATGTGTAAAAAATGTTTAGCAATATACATGTGCAATTCTGTGGAATTCGTCATTCCTAGGGCTTTTTGTATTTTTGCCTTATTTGGAACCTTTGCATTTGAGGCTCAAGAATGCCGCTTGGGAGGGTCCCAGGGATCTATTTTAATTATAGCTCATAAGACTTGTAGTTGAGTATTGTTATTGATACAGTTCTAGAACAGTTTCAAATCTGTTTGTAGACTGGATGTTCTGTGTCATGAACTAAACAGTTCTGTTAAATGACTCTTTCACGTCCTTTCCTCAGTTAGTAAACAACATTGACTTATGATAAAAGAAGATTTATTGGTTTTAAAACTTAAGTTGCAGAATTGACAATCACTGTTTTTCGTTGATGAACACTTCTGTTTATCATCTTGAAAGTTGCTAGTGTTTGGCTCCGTTATCTTGGATAATTAGAGAGAAGTATAGATCATTTGGAAAAAGTATGAATAAATGCTTTGTTACTGTAAAGACTCTTCTCTTTGAATTTCTGTGATTGAATGCACTGTTTCTACAAACAGCATTACCAAATTGTATTGTGCCCATATGGCTTCATTATAATCTCATACTATCTTAATGAATTAAAGTTGCAGTTACAAGAGCTAGATTGGCACAACTGTTAATATAAAGAAATGAAAACAAATAAATGACCAAGTTCACATCATTGTTGATTCCTTAACTGTAGACCTTGATTGGTTCACTGGTGAAACATGGCAGCAGTTGTCTTTGAATGTAGAATTTCAGTCATAGCAAGACCCTCAGAATTACTTACGGGTGGCAATAGAGATATTTCCTCAGCCTCTCTATGTAGATGGAGGGCACCATTGTCTAACCCAACGTGACTGTTAGGCACTGTGATTTGGAAGGTTTCATAAGGTATCTCTTGCATGAACAAAGGTTTTTGACAACTCCTTGTGCTGGAGGCTTGGCTAAAGGGTCTGTAGGCGCTTGCCTGTCTGTTCTCTTGCAAGGCATGATGGATGTCAGTCCTGGCATGAATGTGGCCTAGAGGGGATTCTCTCTAGCTCTCTTACAGAGATGTTCTTCACTGTAATTGAGTGGGCTGAGCGTGAAGTCTAAAAGCCTTATTGCAAAGTCTGTCAACTCTTGTTCCCTTAGTATTATGCTAACTACTAGTCTACTGGACAACTGAGCTTTTTAGAAGGAAAATGCTCGGCTGTCCAGGAAATTTATTGTTCAAACTGGAATACTTGGATAATATTCCAGCAAGTCATTCAGGAATCCATGGGTTTTCTTTTTTCCTGTCCCGAAGTTATCATCAGCATTTGGTATTATAACGGGACTGTGGTCCCATAAGAACAAGTCTTATGAAAAGATGGTAAAAAGCTTAGCCAACAAACCTGGGCATTTGTGACGGTTTGTATGCTACTCTGTTGGTGGGAAAGACAAATAAAGCTGTTACTGTTAGTATTTAATCCATGTCACTTCTGTGCTGCTGACCATGAACTTGGTGTTTCTGTAAACAGAGTGTGACATTGTCCATGCAGCATTGTTGATGTGCTTTGTTTCCCCTCGAGTTGAACACAGAATCGACGCTCTGATCTGCTTGTTCAAAAGTTGTTCACTTTTTACATTTACTGCTTGTATCCTTAACCATATTTTCAAATGTTAGTAATGAAAGTTTTATTATACAGTATTTTAGAGTTGCAATATTCTGTTCTAAGCATCACATATTTATTTCCAATACAGCAACAAAAAAAGTATCAGAAGATAAAAAGTTCGGCTATTGTAGTACAGTCTTACATCAGAGGATGGAAGGTGAGTTTCCTGTTACTGCGGCTATGTCTGCATGGTGAGGTAAGGAGCAGGTCAGAAAACACATTCCAAGTGCACTAAGCCTGCTGGCTTTCATGCCTCCTGTCCACTGAGCTGTGGCTGTGCCGTAGCCGTTGTTAAACACTCGGGTTTGCCATAAAAGAGGTGAGGCATGCAGCCTCGACTATAAATCCCTGGAAATGGTGCAAGTGGAAGGCTGGGACCACACTATGCTACTGGGTTATCCTTGGGGCATCTGCTGCCAGAGAATTTGGAGAGAGGCGCCCTCTTTACGTGGGCTGGAGTGTGAATGAGGGAGTCTGGTGTTCAGAGCAGACCTAGGTATGCACTAACCATGCAGCTGGGCATCTCCAGAGTGGGATGGTCCAGGACTCTGCCACGGGGCTTATGAAAACGGTACCATTTGACTGGTTTTGAAGAAATAAGTTGTGGTTGGTGGTGGTTATGTTACGGTTAACAGGATTCTCAAAGAATGAACAAAATTGAAAGCAGGCTTTAAATAAAGAGTTTGGGTCACCTGAGCAGTATGTTTCTTGGGTTAAATCTTCAATTCTCCTCTGTGCGCTAAGCAGAGGGATGAAAGCGAACTGTACTCAGCTTGTGTTGAGCAAGTACTTTATTGCCGTTTGCTTGCCTCAATGTGCTACAACTTTGCTTCCTCTCTGAGAGGTTTGTACTTTGTGAAGGGATAATCCTGCAGCCGTAGTAGGGATTTAAGGAGTGATGCTTTAATAAGAGGTAAAAATGAGGTTAACTGCTCTCATGAAAGCAGCCACAGTGCTTAAAGCAACTACTGCTGTCCAGCTTCAGAAAAAATGTCCCTGGGCTCCTCTGTTTTCTTATTAAATTTCTCCACCCCACTAAATGTGGCTTTCTCCTCTATTTAGGGGAGAACTACCTTTAATTCTGGAGTCAGTTCCCTTCCTGTCAAACAGGGAAGGAAGGGGCTGCAGTTACTGGCTATAGGTGTAAACAGCCCTCTTGTGCTCGGAAGGTTTTCAAATTTGCCAGCGTAATTTGCTAGTGTAATTTGATTTCACTATTTTTCTTGTTTTTTACTTTGTCTTTATTTCAAATGAGTTAAAAATATCCTTTCAGTTTAACTATTGATGTGCTGTCCTTTCGCATGAGTGTTATTTCAAGAAAACTGGATAAAAGCATCATCTCATCTTGAGTTACGTTTTTCTGTTTGTCATTGGAGAACATGCTTTTTTGTGGTAGCACTGCCATGGATAAAAACCTGGTGTGACAGCAGCCTTTAGTGTGACCTAGAGCCAGACAATTTACTTGTGATTTATAGACATATACTGAGTGGAGGAAAAGTATTGTTGCCATTGTGCAGACAGACATACAGTGCACAATGTATCTCAGGTGGTGCAGCAAATCTGGGAGAAAACTAAACATTGAACTGAGACCTCCTGAACTGCCAGTCCCAAGCTGTCATTTGTGCACAGAATCCTCCCTGGAACAGTGAATATTAGGCTGCGTAGCATTGCTGAATTTGTTTGCTTGGGGATTTGGAGGCTTTTTTTCATTTTCCCTAGATTTGTAGCTTGCAGAACCCTAGTTTAAAATCATTTAAAAATATAGGACTTTTTTGAATAAAATAGTGTTTTCAATTGTTTACAGGCTCGTAAACTTCTTCGGGAACTTAAGCATCAGAAGCGTTGTAATGAGGCTGCCACAATAATTGCCGCTTATTGGCATGGTACCCAGGTAAGAAAATGGCAACAAATTGTGCACTTAGTTGTCTCTACACAGAATGAAGGAGGCCTTTCAGGATAAAGATATCTGGGAATGTTTTCAGTGGCTTAAACTGCTGATTTTTTTTGTTTCTCTTTTGCTGCTAACATGTTTTAGCTGGTGCAATCTGGGAAGCTGGGACATACTTTAATATTTGTTGTTAGTAGTGACTGGTTTCTTTCTTTCTTTCTTGCACAATTGGGAACTTGCAATAACCTTTTCCTTCCTAAGCTTTTCTATATCCCATTTTCAAATGCATCACAGGCGCGAAGGGAACTGAGACGACTGAAGGAGGAGGCTAGAAATAAACATGCTATTGCTGTTATTTGGGCTTACTGGCTTGGATATAAGGTACTTCATGCACACATCACATGCCCCCCTTCATTACCCCAAAATATCAACGTTTAATCAGTAGTAAATAGTGAGAATTAATGACTAATACAATTGACTTTAAAATAATAGAGCATGATCATTGATTCCTTCCATTTCCATTCATGGCGCACTTAATAAATCTGACAACATTCTGTATGTCAGTTTTTAATAGAGTAGGAAATTCTTTGCATGGCAACCAAGTAGTGATTTGCACTAACAAGCCATTTGACTAGATTAAAAATGACTAGACTACAGTATTCTCAAATTAGGAAATGCATTTACTACATGCAAGTATGCAAAGCATGGTTTGCGAGGGGAGAGAAGGTTGGGGTTTTTGGTGTATTGTTCCTTCCCCAC